GGAGATCTTAGAGCTGATCACTGTCAGAGATTCCATGATTTGCTCACTGAATAGCAAGTCACCTTCTCCAGTTGACCTCATAACATAGGCCAAACAAGTAAAATATATACAGATACAACCAGTTAGATATGTCAGTTAGCTAGACAACTCTCAGTTGCATAACAGACTGAGGCTTTTAAAGATAGATGTCATGAACGAACAAGAAGTCATAGAATAAGCACTTGTGAATAAGAAAGATGGATCCAAACGTTTCTTTGTGAACTACTGGGAAGTGAATGAAGTCACATAGAAGGATGTCTACCCACTGCTAAGGATTGACTCTACTTTGGATGCTCTAACTGGATCAAAGTAGTTTTCAATACTGGAACTTATCAGTGAATATTGGCAAGTGCAAGTCGACAAAGTAGAAAAAAGACAGTTGTTACTGCAGAAAATGGATTATGACAAGTTGTTGTGTTACCATCTTGGGTTAGCTGTGTTGAATAGGCAAAACTGCAGTCCACAGCAGAGGGTATGGCCAATCAAATAATGCATTAGGACTCTACGTCACAGATTCTCCTTTCAATTTCATTTTTGGTGAAAAAGAAAAGAGATCTTTAACACATATATATATATAATGATTAAACAGTTGGTTTGCTGCATAATATCAGAATATTAAAATCGGTGAAATGTCATAACCTTATTCATATACCTAAATTACCTTAAGCTACTGTATGGTGAATTAAAAAGTACTCAAAACCTCATAGAAATTAAGTGTGAATTATTCTTTCAACAGGTGAGTTTCCTGGGGCACGTAGTCAGCAGAAAGGGAGTATCTACAGAAGACTAACTCTGTCCATAATTATCCAACACCAAAGAACCTGCTTGAGGTAAGTGGATTTCTTAGAATGTGCTCTTACTATCATTGTTTTGGAATTCATTCTCTGACATAACTCATTCTCTACACAAGTGGAATAACTTTTAATGGACTGCTGATTGTGATGAAGGATTAATTTGATCCAACACTCATTTGAAAGATGCTAAGGCAAAAGATATTAGCTTGAAACCATCTACATACCATTGGTCATGGAAGAGAAAACCACAGAAAAACTTGGTGAATGGACAGATTAGTATACTGTTTTATTTGTGTGTTAGGATTGTTCAAGTGACATTACAATCCAGGAAGGGGGCAGAGTTGTAAGCTATATTTTCAATGTTTTAATTTAGTTATTTGCTAGAGGGGCTACTAGTATGATGATGATGCTGGATTTAGAAAGTTTATAAAAGTGGTCCTAGAATATCTAGAATGATAATAATTGAGAGACATTGCAAAATATCTAGAAACAAAGATATATTACAAATACCAGAATGGGTAAAGAGCTGAGTCAGTTTCAGTTCATTCAGAGATTGAAAAGTGAGTGAAGTATTCATACCAGTGCTAGATATCATTTATTAGCACTGATTAGCCATGAAACAGTACAAGTTCATTTGTACATTAATTATAGTACCATTAGTGAGTAAATTTCTTTTTAAAGTGAAAATTTCATTAGTGTACTTATGTCTACAACTGTGTACAACTTAAACTTACAAGTGATGGTAGCCTGTAGTCAACATTAAGGAAGAAACAACTAATTTGTTATCGTTACATGTGTTAGACTTCCCACCATTTCAAATACTTAAAAGAATTCGCCCAATGAAAGATCAACATTACAACAACAAAATTTGTTTTATGACAGTGCATACACTTGTTTGACCAGTATATTGAATTTCCTACATTATTTACTAGGTATATTTTTAGTTCTTCTCTATAGACTTAGATTGCTTTGATCAAAAGGTATTGATGAATTCATGAAAAGTTAACATGATGAATTTGGTTCTTTGAAGCAAACAAATATGATCAAAGACACCCTCCCTAAAATTAAGCATCTTATAGTGAGGGAAGTTTGTCTGAACTGCTCAATCTCACCACCTCCAGCAACAGGTCTGATCATAGTAACCATTTTAATTATCCTAAAAAACATATTTTTGGAAATAACTATTAAATGATGGTTGATTTTTAACACATACATAAAAGGTAAATACAGTCGGAACCTGGAATTTCTTATTACCATTAAATTTCATATAGAGCATATCATTACACCAAAAATAATAATTAAGAAAATAAAACAATAAACCCTGAAAATGAAAGTTCACATTAATATTATAAAAACAACAACTTATAAAAGAATTTTAAATCTCCATAACAATTACAAAACTCACAAGTACATTATGGTTTAACATTCTCAATATAAAGATAATACCGGTGTTAATATACAGGGAAATCTAAAATATACATACAGCTGCATAATATGAATTTTTTTTTTATGTTTAATGTTCACTGAAGGAATCAAGCTCCAAATTTTAGTGTTATAAGCAGAGGTGTAGTGAGGTGGGAATACTTGGGCATGGCGTACCTGTATTTTTTATGCAATTATGCAGTACAGTTTACATTCTGGCACTTCTTTATTTAGCACTGCACCAGTAGTTTTAAGCCCTCAACTTTATCACTGAGCCAGTAGGACACATGTTTCTTTTTAAGAAAGATGTTTATGTATTTCTTTTTCACTTTAACTTACAAAACTAAAACAGTTAAATCACATATTTTACTCAATTTCATTTCATGTTATTATATGTGTAGCAATATATATTATCTAAATAACATATATATAAACATAACTTGCATTTTCTACCTCTTATATGGATAACCATTTAGGCCACACACAAAAAAAATGTTTATAAAAAATGTTTATTAACACCATACTTTATTAAACTAAACACAGACAAAGCTGATAAAAGAGGAACATCAGCCACAATAGCTCAACTACTACACTTCGTGCAAGGTTTATGTATGTGAGAACTAGATTGGCCTAAAGATGACATGTCTGATTCATTAACACATAAATAAACCCAACATGCAGTAACTAGTTTGGTCAACCTAGCTACTGCAAGTCTTAACCTTATAAAAGTAAACAACCACTAATATTGACAACTGGGAAAAGCTTATGGTTTTAGGGAAATGGATAAGCCACATTGTGCTGGTTCAATACTGGCTTCAAATTCAGAGTCACCAAACATTCATCACTTCTTATCATCAATGTGGATGAAATGCAACTGAGAATTGAGGGTTTTATGGCTGATAACTTAGAGCCAGCAAAATATGGCTTATCCATTTCCTTAACTCTGTAAGTTATTTGCAGATCTTCTATACCATGTTCTGAAACTTTGCTCGAGAAACTTCCTTCTACTCTGAACCTATTGGATAAGACAGCTACCAATACTTGATAGTTGTTATGGCTCTCAGCTGCAAGGCTACTTAATGTTGTTAAAGCTGGGTGATTTAAACAAACAGCAAGATGAATAGCTTAGTGTTCAATTTTCCAACTGTTTACTCTAGAAATGATTACGAATTGAGCCTGATATACCACCCATGGTACCTTTCTATCATAGTCTATTGGGAGATGTTGTTCAATTGGGTAGCTAAATTCTGAAATTGGATTTGGTAGTGACATGACTGGAATAGTCCAGGAAGTTTGTATAGTAAGAAATGGCATGGTAGTTGTGATAATATGTGTAGGCCAAAAAAAGATATACTTTATTTTAGAGTAGATGGTGTTTTAGTTTGGAACTATTGAGCAGATGTAGAAAGAGGTGTGGTTGGTGTAATATTTGCATTTGGATGTTTTATTCTGTTACTGTTGTTTTTATCTACTGCAGTGGTGCTCTTTTCCACCTCATTGATGTCTTTTTGTACTCCTTCAATTTTATTATTAAAGCCTTTTTGTGCCTTTTTTAATTTTTTTGTTGTAATCTCTCTGTACATCTTAAATATAAGAAATTGATCTTTTCTTCAATCACATTTATTTTTTATTAATTCTTTAAATATTTCATCTGCTTCTTTTAACTTCTCTTAAAATTCTGTCTCATTCTTCTATTTTTGTTATTTTCAT